ATATATATATATATATATATATATATATATATATATATATATATTTACACACAACAAAATTGATCGCGCGACTACAGAAAACACGCAGCAGATTACTTAACGCACCGATGGTATCTGCGAAGATATCAATTGTGTAGCAATCGACGCACGATATCGAGATGTCGCGGCACAACGAAACGGAGTATCCGTCGGCACTTACCACAAGCCGCTGATATCCTTCCCGCGAATCCACTCTCGACACTTTTGTATTAGATATCGAATCGACACGCCGTCGTACACAGCCGCCACTTGTCTTATCATGTAAAAATACATTACTGTTTCGAAACACACAAAACCTCTTTATAATTCCAATATCTCCTAGCACAATTAACGACTCACTTAGTTCGACCGCTTCGAAACCTCTTCACATTCGAGCTTTTGCGACAATACGAGCACTAAAGCTTCCAATCGATTATTATTAATCCGATCGATTATTATTAATCGTAAAGTTTACAAAGAGTAAAGGTGAAGGAAAGGAATGTGCAGTGCATTAATACTTTACTGCGATATCATGTGTGATGTCTCGTAGTAACTAATGTTAATTTTTACACATGTGTGTTATATATCAGTTATATTGAGTGGAAAATTATAACTGTTATATAACTGTTACTTGGTATTTGCTAGGTGGTTTCGCTTCGATTTTTATCGTTTGTGTGGCGTTTAATTTTATCTTTTTGCATAATTTTCGGACGTAATCCAAGTCTAACACAAATGTAAGAAAATATATTACCTCTCCAATAATTGAAATACAGAAACGATACATCGCACTCTAAACTTCATTATTGAGAAAATTATCTTTGACATATAAGATAATTACGAATTGATATTTAACGCGAGCGAACGATCAAGCGAGAGGCATCACCATCGTGTTACAACCAACAGTGCGTTCGTTGTTAGCAATGCAATTAGAGACGGCATAATCGAGCGAGCGGAGGCACTGTGACTCACGGAGGAGAGTGACGAGCGGGAGGGAAAGAGAGAAAACGAAAGAAATGACGAGCCGGTGCGCGAGGTAACAAAAAAATACCAGTCGTCGCCAAAATCCTCCGCCTATCATCGGTACGTCACCAATCAGTGCACGTCCGTAGTTCCGCCGCATAGCGACAATCGTTCTCTTTCGCGAGATAATTGTTCTGTTCGCGATTCGGCGCGGGCGCATCCATCTCATCCGCTCGTACACTAAGCTTCAATAAAACCTTGACATTTATTTAACATTTGCATTTACTTAACGAAAATTCATTAGCTTCTGGAATTATTTTTATCATATTTGGATATGCATATACATTGCTTCTCATTATTCGACCAATCTGTTATTTTGATTGTTTGTCATATCATATCATATATCCAGTCACAAACTATTAGAAAAGAACTACTAGAAAGAATGCTGACTTCTTAATTAACATTAAGGTTTCATTATAGCTTAGCGTACAGAGATTGGTACATTAAGGAAAAAATATTAGAAAATTAATCTGTGGAATATAAAATTTGTTCACAAAAATAAATTTTATTTCACAGAAATAAACTTTATATCTCGCAAATAAATTTTCAAGTATTTTTTCTCACTATGTGATAGCCTTAACATTTGTATAATTAAGAATCATGATTTTCAACCATACCCAATATAACGTGTGTATACACAGGTTGACAATCGTATTCACCACATGTTGAGGCTTACTCACTGGTTTGTGTGCACGAAGGAAGAGTCGAGAATTAAAGAGAAGAGAAAACGCTTTTGGCAAAGTGCACGCACCGATGCGTACATTGCGAGACATGCGTTTCAATCGCAACCGACATGGACTATGCGCTGCTCGAAAATTGATCGCGGTAGCAGCATGTTGGCAATTTTTTGCAAATAACAAGGACCAGCGAGGACATCACTGCCGCTTATACTTGCTCGGAGATCAAAACTTGTCGATATTATATTGTATTTATTATATTCGTTCAATGATCAAGCGCGAAGACAAAAATTTGGTGATAGCGAAAAGTTACAAAAATCTTCAAGAATTCGTTTGTTAATTTTTAGATAACGCTTAATACAATTGTATAAGCGTTACGAGTATAAGCGTCAATGTTATCACTGTAATTCCGATATACCGATTGACTGCGAACAGTACGATAATAACACATTACTTGCGAATAGAGAATATAATCATTGAGATATGACACGCTTGTATAAAGACTATTTTAGAACGTCGCCCGATGCATAAAACACCTACGACCTACTGACTTGTTGTCGTCAAAGGATCGTAGCACCGATTTTCTACCTTGCATTGTCGTTTTCCTTTAAAATTATCCACATGCAAACCCTTACACTGAGGAAACCGTACCCTTGTGAATTGATTGATATCTGTAGCGTTTCATGATTGTTACACTCTCAAACGTGTTATTATTTCCTAGTGCGCATTTATAATTCACATGTCGTGTACGATCGATCGATCTGCTAAAGAGATATGAATAACGTGTAATATGACATCTGCTTATCGGCGATTCGCGAGGGCAACGCGAAATCCGCTTGAATTTGCATGCATGGCCTGATGCGTCGACTCGCCGCGCAACTAATCCTGTCTATATCGTTGAAACTCATCTTATTTTTTAATTCGTACCTCAGGATGCGGCCGAGACGATGGAATACGGGCCCCCGGGCAATATTCAAATCTCTTTGGCTAACGGAAACATCATGAAGATCCCGCTGGCGAGTATCAATATCAGCGAGGAGGTGAACAAGACTGGTATCTGGCAGCAGGTCAACGAGGGCAACGAGAAGTCGAAGCAGTCTAAGTCACTGATCAAGTATGTATATATAGAAACTAAAAATATATTACAGAGCTAAAGTAAAATATTGTAGAACTGAGGAACATTATAAAATTGAAATATATTGCACATTGTGTATAAAAATTAAATAATATTTTATTTTATATATTTTTACATATTTTATTTATTTTATTTATTTTATATATTTTTTGCTGTTATAATTTATTTAAATAACTTACTTAAAGTTCATTTATAAAATCAGTAAGAAAATCTACCTACGATTTCCCTATAAGCAGATCCTCTATCGAGTTCGCTTTCGAAACTAACTAGAGTTCATTCGATATACAGCATGGGGAAGCAGAAGAAGCATACAAAGAAGGACAACTCGTTGCTAGCCGATGAGACGACGAGGCTGACGACAATGACTGAGGAGGACGAGGATGACAGTGGGATCTCGATCAAGGTGACAAACGTAAATGACTCTAAATTCTAACTACCATCACCATCACCAAATCGACAATTCATATGGCAAGACACACAGCAAGAGCACCAATACACCGGCATGCAACATACTACCCCATGCACCACCGCTGTGAGTAAATTTACAAGCGAGGAGCGGCATGAGACGGCCCTCGTCGAGTCGTCGTAAAAACGAACTTAGACGCGGACGACTCGTCGCAGAGAACGCGGACTTTCATGGACGGCAACGAGAACACGGCGTTTCTTTTATCATGTAACGTCAAGTATTTTTACCAAACAGTTTCATTTCATTCTGTAAATTCGCGAATCTACGATGATCGCGCGAGATACTCGAGGAGACGTTGGTGAAAGAATTTATTCTAGCATTTATTGTCGTTATATAATACGTCTGTTCACGTTTCGCCAATTTCTTGGCGCAATCACGTTATTGTCCGTGAAATTCGACTCTGCAGCTCGTGCTTGCGCTCTTAGAGATATCGCACGCACACGTTGCTCTTCATTGCTGTCTGCGAAACAGACTGATATAACGTTTTCTCTCGAACTAGCTTTGTAAAGCGGGGTGGAAACATTTAGTCGCATGCTCCTTCTTTTTAATATAGCACCTGTAGGTTCTTATATTATTGCATGGGTATTAAGAGAGAGACTTGCTTCTATCATTATTTATTAACAGATCGTAAATGAAAAGAATAATCCAGATTCTGTTTTTAAATGCTGCCATTAAAATTACTGCTGATCGTTCTAGGACGCTCAGTATATCGTGAAAAATGTCACGTATTGCCTCATATTTATGAAATAAAAAAAAGAAATATACATATCTTTATAATAAAGAAAATATATTTGTTATCATATGTAGAGAGCATGCAATATAATCTCCTAATTTTATACAGAATATTTCAGAATTACAAGCAGACTTGATTGGCTAACAAAGTTGACAGAAACGAAATCTTAGCGTCATAATTATTCACGAAATGATGATTAATGACGAATAATCCAACATGATCGTTCATTTCGTTGAAGAAATTTTTAGGGAAGCGTACCGAAGAGCAAGTTCCAAGGAATGTTAATTAAATGTTAATATGAGTGATTCAACTGGATTATTTCAGGTAGATTTAATACGATCCAAGGAAAGCATCAGTCCCTTGAAAGCGAATGGCACTACCTCAGCCGAAACTTCTGTTTAACATGAAGACAGCAGAAACGAGCGCACGTTGACGCGACACGCAGGCTTCTTCGATCGATCGTTTCGAGACTTTCGTCCACTTCAGTTCCTTCTCCGCAATCTGCGTCCGTCTCTCTTTCGCGAATCGTTTATTCGGCCGACAAGGAACCTATAGATTATCGCATCATCTAATTTCACCGAGACTTTCATTCTTATTTGAGAAGTTATATCTCATATCTCACATTTTGCGATTATCATTGTTTATATTATATTTGTATCGTATTTGTCACATGATTGACACACGGTCCGCGCGATCCTGGACTTTATGCTAGACTCTGCACAGAGAAAAATTTACTGCTAAGAGAAGCGATTATTCAGTTTGTTTTTCTTCTTTTAAGTAATAGTTGTAAATTCGACAAAGAATTTTTTTATGATAATCTTAAAATATACCGGTAACAAGTTTTAGGTAAGCTTACTGTGATGTACTGAAAAGAATTTATTCTCTTTACAAGGATATCATAAAATTTTATCGATGAAACAGTTGATTTGACTCTACGCAAATAAGCAAACCGAAGTTTTATCTTAATTCAGTATTCTTGATTAAAATACTAAACCTACTAGAATTCAGAATGTATTTCGAATAAATTTGATGCTTATAATGAGCTTATGATAGATTTGCGGATATGTAAACTTAAAAAAAATACTTAAAATAGGTAACATTTACTTGAATGCAGTATGTATTTTTCTGTGTGTAAATGAAAGTCATCCATACACAGAGTCTCAATGTGCCTGTACATAGAAGCGACTCAATTCAAGATTCTCGCCAATTAATAATCGGGTAACTTTATGAAGATTCTTCTCTTATCCTCGTGAAAGTAGTAAACATTGTGTACGAGAAATATACCTTTAAGTCGCAGCGAATTACCGCAAAGGACAAACTTGACAAATACGAGAAATGGGAGAAAAACGATATTTACATACTGTGTATTTTTTGCTGGTTATTCGTGCGACAACTGATTCCTTTTGTTAGAATTACCCTCGAACTGTACGAGAAACTCTCTCGACGAGAGAGAGAGAGAAAGAGAGAGAGAGAGAGAAAGAGAAAGAGAGGAGGTGGAATTCCAAAATTCGACGTAATAGAGACGTACGGGATAGTTACATAGTAGTTTTTACATTCTAGTAACAACGGAAAAGAAAGTATGATAAAATATAAAAATTTCAAATACCACTGCGCCTCGATCAAATAACAAAAAATGCTGGTCAATGAGAGTCGTGGTGTTTACGATTTACGTCATTACCCAATAAACACCAACTGACAGTAACATTAAATCAATATTATAATTTCCCACTCAACTATATACAACTGTAATATAATACGCACGTTATATTATATTTATATTGTTGAATGGGAAATTGTGATATTGATGTTATATTACTGATAATTAGTGTTTACTGAGTAGGCATATCTTCACGCTGGAACTCGTGAAAAGCGCACATTTTTCGAAATCGTAAGCGACACCAAAGAAATAAAACAAGCAAATATTTACACGTCGTGTTAAAAAAATAAAAAAATAAATAAAAATAAATAAATAAAGTATATGCGTCTGGGTGTAAAATCGCGATACAACGCGCGGAGAAATTCGAATCTTTAGTCGCGGCCCTTGAGAAGTCGCTCGAGTTTCGACGCATTCGATGATACGATTCCATTTTCACTGTGACAGTTTCGTGCGCGGCACCGTACGACACGGGGAAGCGCAACGGGGAAGAAAACTGTCGAAAGGTATCGTATCGTCGTACACGATGACACGCGATTCTGTGCGTGTTGCGTGATTAAGTAGCTAAAATATATCTATAATCATAGTATGCCAAAGAAACCCCGCAGTGTACACGTGTACCGACGCTTCCTTCGAGGGATATCTCGCGAATCATTAGCGGCGAGGATCGCCGAGAGGAAGTAACTCGTAACGAGTATGTCGCCCAGCAAATAATAAATAACAATAACATTACATCAATATTATAATTTCCCACTCAGCGATAAAACTGTTACATATAACGCATGTTGTATTGCACTTGCATTGTTGAGTGAGAAATAACAATGTCGATGTAATGTTACATTTAGTTGGTGTTTACTGGACGCTTATTGGAGAGAACCGCGCTTGAACGTTGTTCATCCTCAGATCGTTGATGCGATCGAAATTGGACTTATCTTAGAAAACTTCCTAAAACTCTCTTATCGACGTCCTGTTTTCCAGACGATAAAGGTCGATTCTCGAGAACAGTCAAAAGTACCTTGTAGCAGCGTATCGTTCGTTTCATTGTTTGTTACCGAAAATTCCGAACCGGCTGAAAGTCTCGCGCGAGAGCTGAGCATTGGAATTCTATTTTCGTAACTCTTTTGATATCTGGACACGTCTAACTAGCCATCAGCGACAATATCAATATATTCTAATTATAGTGAAATTAGTTTCTCCCTCCCCATCACGAAATCCGCGACGTAAATTCTCCGTTCCGCGGTGAAGCGCGATGTAACATGCTTTTTTATAACGTAATCCCTTGAAGGATAACCGATCTCGTTCGTGGTTAGAGGGAGATGACGTACATCGTTGACCCGTATAGCCCGCGATGTATATAATAGCTAGTCGTGCGACAATTTACGAATTCATTGTGTAACAATTAATATTCTGTCGGGTAACGTAAGTGGCGCGTTAGTTCCGATCAAGCGAAAGTCACCGACTCAATGGTTGTTCTCGAAAAGAGAGAACGATTTTCGACTTTGATTCAATCGCGAAATATTTCCTTACATGATATGTTCAATTTACATACCAGACTTCATTGTAAATTAGTCCAATATGCAATGACGCAAGTAAGTGCTCAGTAAACATCAACTACATAACAGTAACATTACATCAATATTGTAATTTCCCGCTTCATAATATAAATACAATATAACGCATGTTGTGCGTAATAGTTACATTGTTGAGTGGGAAATTATAACATTGATGTAATATTGTTATTAGTCAGTGTGTCTACTGGGTATTTACAAAAGCTTACAAGTCGACGAAATATTAACAAGTCACTCAAATCAGTCCGTGACATATACTAAGCAGAAAAATCGCCGAATCCTGTTGTCAACTCTTTGACAGAGTCGATAGTAAAGATCTTCATTATGATTAACCATCAGCTGCCCCGATTCGGCTAATTAACAAGACACACAATCATTCGTGAAATTTTCACAAAATTGGTAAGCTAGCCGGGAGAAGAAAAAACGTTCCGCGATATATTTTTTTACACGGACATTTTGCTAAACAGATAGTTTGAGAGAACTGAGTTCTAACTCGACGCGCGAAGCCGACGCGAGAGTCACGTCTTATGCGTGGTACGTTTGACGCGTAGGAATGTGCTCAAAGGGAAGACCTACAATTAAAATTAATACATGTAAACGTTTATATCGCTGGAAAGTATAATCGTGCGTACCGCGTACACTTCTTAAGTATATATAATATAATTATGTATATATATATATATATATATATATATATATATATATATATATATATATATATATATATTTTTTTTTTTAAGCAGAGAGAGAGAAAAAAAAAGTGTGTGCGCTCGCATATTCCCGGAGACAAGCCGCTTGAAATCGCGAATAGCATTAGTTTGTGGGCAATGTCAAAACGAGACTAGAGCGTTACGACGCGATGTAACTCAGATCGTGTCATTTCTTAATTGAACGAACCAAAAAAACGTGGGAAAAAAATATTAATTTATGGTTAATGTGTAAAGTAAAATTATCTTACCAAACGTATGTACGACACGTATGTTCGTGTGTGTTTGTGTGCGTGTATGTGTGTGTTAAGTCCGCATCAGGTCAGCTAAAGCCTGTTGGACTAAGTATCGAAGATTGAGGATTGCTGACTGAAAATTGGAACTTGATCGATCGCATCAAAGCGAACCAAGGTCCACGAGATCAAATCAAGAGGTACGATAATGTCGCAACGCCAAGTATATTAATGAATCAAGAGGCACGATAATATTGCGACGCCAAGTACATTAATAAAGCGACAAAATGATAATAGCTCAAATACGATTATGTTCATGATGAAACTGTCGTAGCATCAAATGGCTTGTCATGTTCTAATTCCAAACTCGCAATCCTCAGACTCCAATACCCGATTTGATATGAGCTTAACGCAGGCCTGATCACAAAGCGGTAGATAGGCTACAGTCGCCGACGTAGTATTAATTGGTTGTGACTATGTAGGGAAGATTGTTTCGGGAGAGAGTTTTGCGGAGTCGAGGTGGAAAGTAGCTGAACACCTGTCGTGCACCTCCAAAGCGTGCTGCGTCTTCTTCAATCCGAAACGGGCGATCCAGATCGGGACGTTGCTGGCGCTCTCCGTTGAGAAAGTGGTGCTTAAAAACGTGGGCCTACGTTACAGATGGATGTGACTGCGGATTCGAAGAGAGCGAACATTCTGCGCGAATCGCCAATAATTTATAATGACGATCGCTCGATTATTTCGGTGCACGTTCGCGCGACAAAGCACGTCGGAGGGACTTCCGAGGCAACGCGACAGCGAGAGAGCATGATTCACGTTGTAATTCATGATGTTAAACGGCTGATCATTGAGATTGTACCCAAGAAGCTGAACACGGCGACCGATATGAATAACGGAGCACTAAAGAGAGAAAGTTCGCTTTAGAAATTTGTACTAGAACTCCATTCTGTCGTTGTACTCTGTAGCATCGGGTGCCGTTCAGCTTTAGTTAATTCACACGATGTATTATTAATAAATTAATTGATAACTATATGTAACTTTTATGTACATTGTATTCTTATACACACCTATATCCAGACAGAATCAGAATACAGTTCCCGTTATTATCATTGCGCGTTTCTTTAATCGTTTTTTATACTTGACACATTGTGACATTTCTTATCAATTTTTATGTCATTATTCGTCCGTATTTAGCAAATCTTCCTGCGTACAATTGCAGGACAACCTCGGCGAGCTTCCCATCTGAAATTGCAGAAGTATCACCAGATACGTCGTCGTCGCACCCATCATCTGATAAACAAAAATATCACAGAGTGAGCAATCTTAAAGTAGCGCAATTTCCATATTGAGAAATTTACTACGAAAATCAAATTGCATTTCGAACAAGATATTCTAAGTGTTCTCACCGAATGGAAGAAAGTATTATCGAGAGTAAAGTATCCGCTAGCTGTAAAATGTATCTTGCGGTGCAAAAGTTGAAGCGAGAATTGTTTGAGCTGCAAAAAATCTCCAATAAATACCGTTACGACGCAATTAACGAAGGAATATCAAGTTTGCATTACCTCTGACTTCATCATATTGCCGATCGTGCAACTCAAGAGTTTATGTATCGCACTACCGGTTTTTTCCACCTACAAAAAATTAGAGATGGATATCACACGATCTCTGGCGAAAATAGAAATTGCGTACGCTTGCTTTACGTTCCAATTGTTTCAATTTACGCTTTGTAAGCGCTTCACTTACACTTCCGTCACTCTTCGTTTACACTTTATTTACTCTCCAATTTCTATTTTCGCCAGGGATTCGTAGAATTAATTGTAATAATCATTGTAGATCAATAAAATTGATTCGATTCTTACCTCGCGCAAAATCCTAGTAATTCTAGTGGTAAGAAGGATAATGGGATAAATCAAAAAAATCAACCAGATGATGGTATCAGTCAAAACCGCGACTTCCAAGATCTCACTGCTCAGCAAAAAAGGCGACAGGAGGTAGTAGGCGTTGTATACAAGCGAGAAGAACATGAAGGAGATGCCACACACTATCGGCACCGAATAGAAGTCCGACACGTCCTGGGAGACCTCGCAGAGATGACAGTGCACATCCCGCAACTGTAGCAGTTGATGAACGGAGGAGTTGCTGACGATGATGCGACGAGTCTGATACAGGGATTGTGGTCGGGAGTCCGGCGTGCTAACTCTGGAGATACCCTGTATCGCCTGATTCACGTCGACAAAATCCGCCTGTATAACAGTCACCAACAGGGAATACTGGATCATGAAGAATCCCACGTGAAACGTCGGCAGAACATCTGTCAGCCAGGAGATCGGGCTTGAATAGAAGGCGAAGTATTCGCAGATCAGGAGAGTTATCGCCAGACTACCTTCCAGAATGCAGATGATCGCCAGGAAACACAAGACACGCTCTCGTCGCAACGAAGGGTACAAACGGTACTGACGGTTGAGCTCGTGCTCGACGTCCATCAGTCGGTTGGCAATTCGCACCAGGGACCTCTCGCCGAAGCAATAGCTGAGTAAAATCGCGCAGATCGCCATGCTGCCGAGCAGAGTCTGAAAGATCTCGATGCCTACACTCATGTTCGTCTTGTTGGGATACTCCATGTTGATCCTGTACGGTATCGACAGGTAATTCGAGGCGATCATCAGACTGACGAGCACGGCGTTGTAAACGATGCCCAGCTCAGAGTACTGGAACGTGCAGGACGTTTGTGGGCTTCTTTTCTTCTGGGCGACGACGCAGTGAGAGAAGGTCGCGAGACCGATTATCTTGAAGAATATTAATAACATTCGAAACGCCCACAAGGAGTTTTGATGCGGCGGTGGCGATTTAATCCTCGTCGGTTTCTGCTTGTTGAACCTCTCTGTGATGATGCTCACTTTCTCTAGGTTCCCGAGAATATTGGAGATCCTATAGGCATCCATGAAGACTAAGTAGATTAAGTATACAACCACAGCATCCTCGTGATGTAATTATTCTCTTCGATAAATTAATCTGAAGATGACACCTAATTTTTTCCCAGTGCACATCTTTAACTCGTGGATATTTGCAGCCTTCTCCATAATTCCAAATTATTTTTTGTTTATTTCAAAATGTCTTTTATGATTTCGTTAGTTAGTTAAGTATATGTAGTTTCTTGATGTGATAAAATCACATTACAATAGTAAACAGATCTCGATCTGGTAAAATTACTACTTTCCAGATATCTTCTTCTGCGGTCGCTGCAAGAACTAACAAATTGTTCAATTAATCCGCAGTTATTAGAATTTCATACACCTGCTGTCACGTTCACCGCAAAAAGTTCACTTATGCCTAACTGTATGTCGCACTTCATTCATTTGAGGCGGCACTAAGCACATGCAGCAAGACTTTTTTGCAAAGGTCGCTTTCGCGAGCGCGTATTGTGTATGCAAAACATTATCAAATATTAATTCCACTAGAGTCATAGGCAACACTCTTGGGACCAATGGAAATCATAAGGTCAACACTGTTGCTTGTAATGATAACATTGTCGCGATGAAATTGTTGATTGTCGAGTAACAAGCACATTGTGTCACAACGGTTGTTAGTGTGGCATACACTGAAACCCACTGGAATATTAATACTCTTATATGTGTCATGATACACGCCGCGATATGAGAATACCGTCTGTGTCATTTTCAGCTGTCGCGTCTCTTCAATTGTAACACTGGGTAGATTATCAGTAATTAACAAGTCCACGTATGCGACTCAAAAGTAGTATTTGCGCGGTAGATTGTCAACGATGTCTTCGTTCTTACTAAGTCATATTGTCGCTTTCTTTATATTCTTCCTCCAAGGAGCACTTGAAATATTTTCCTGTCGGACGCATAAAATTCTCCGATTCTAATGAGACGTTCTAGTCTAGAATAAACGTGCACGCTTATGCTCCACACGTTTTGCTACTACGTAGCATATTTTTTATTGTCAAAGATAACAGTCATCTGAGGAATTATCTGATTTAACGTCGCACTCGCAGATCGAAGAACATGAAACTTACATTATGTATGCAATATGGTTTGCGATACTTAATGATAAAAAGGCATCATTGTGTAAAATCAAATAGTTCGCACGAATGCGTGACTATTTCTCCTTTCAAAATATTTGTGATGTGCAGCTTTCAATGTATATGAAATGAATACAAACTATATTTGCGGCAATACCAATGATAGATTGTCTAAATAAATCTAAAATCGTATGCACTGTCTACAAAGACTTCAAATCATTTCGCGTACGTATTATTTTATATTAACATATTTTATGATATTAAATCACTCATGTCATTTGAATGTTTATCTTTACAAATATGCAATTTTTTATTAACGAGATTATTGTTACAAAGATTATTGTTACAAAGATTTGTTTTTATCAATAGGCATTGCAAAATTTCTGTTTTAAAGTGTAATCGATGTCGTAACATAACATGTGCTATGGCAGTTTATTTCTTGGTAGAAAAATCTGAATATAAAATACCGAACATCAAATAATTTTAATACTTCCTCCAATATTCTGCATGAATAGTATTCATTAATAATTAAAAATATAATGCTTACCAATGGTAAAGTGATTACCATACTGCTATACTTTCATCATATAAAGACCTGATAGCGTCCAAAAGATTGTTGTTCAATAACTCTTTTGATTTGTATGATTTCGTTTGTATGATTTCGACACTTCCTCTATCATGATTTTACTGAAACAACTTTTTGTCTATTCTGCACTGGCTGTCTTTTAAAAATAGTCTGTAATAAATATCAAAATTATATTGAAACAAAAATGACAGTAGCGAAAAATTTTGTGATATTTAAAAATAATAACGTTGACATGTTCAAATAAATGAAATTTTTTAAAATTTAAATCCGTACTAATAAAGTATATTACGTATAAAAAAATGTCCAAAACATTTTCTCCTACGTCTCACAGTTTCATTCATTATCAGATATATGGAATTAGCTTCAAAAATTTGTTTCAATTCTTAAACATGCAAGTAAGTATTTATGAAAAGATATATCCGAAGCTCATCAAAATCGATGAAGAATATTTTCAGATCGTTCTTTATGTGATTCAAATTTAAGGATCACTTGTATCGCATTGTTACGTTTGTTATTAATCGTCGTCCCATTATTCATTCATATGTGACACACTTTGCTGTGTACAATTACAAAGCGATCTCGACGAGTTTCCCAACTGAAATTGCGCGAGTATTACTAGATACGTCGTCACCGCACTCAGCATCTAATAAACAAATATATCATAAAGTAATTTTAATGTACTGAAACGTTCGACACAATTTATACACGTGGTTTCAATTGAGATAATAAATGGATAAATACGTACTAATATCAATATGTGTTTATAAAATTACTACTATCCTATGAGTACTATATGTACTCACTTAACTATAATTTAATTTTATTAGATTCGATGTAATTGTAATATTTTTCACATATAGTTATAAGTATACATAATGATGTTGATTTGATTAACAGGAAAAACATTTCTTTACACATTCATACCCTTTTCAGCAAAATGAAGTTTGAAATAAATAATAAATATAGTCTAGATAAATAAATACAGAAACTTGAGTTCGTATATATTATGTATTTCAAACTTTTTTATTGCGCTAAAAAGAATACGAAATATTCGCTTTAGAAAAAACTATAACAAACAGATGAATAACGACTAGTAAGTGCCAAAGGGCGTCAGTCGTGCGTATATAATTTGACGTGTGTTTATATCTTTACTTCAGTAACGAACGTTTTGATTTTCGCCTTGGCTTTCCGCTTTAGCGTAATTAAAAATAGATAATCTAGGATAGGTAAACGCAAACTTGTCTTCGTACATTATTTCAGAAGTTTTGAAACGTTCGTCTTAAAAATCGCAAATCTCAGCTAAACTATATTTCAAGTATATTTAAGGAAATCTAAGATTTCTTACCGAGTGGAAAAGAGTATTATCCAGTGTAAAGTATCCACTAGCTGTAAAGTATACCTTGCGGTGCAACAATTGAAGCGAGATCTGTTGAAGCTACAACAAATTCATAGTAAGTCGTTAAAACTCGATTACTGTCGTGGAATCTCGAGTTTGGTTTACCTCAAATCTCGCCTCTTTGTCAGTCATACAACTCATCAGATTGTTTATTGCATTGCCTGTTCTCGCCATCTGTAAAAAATTCGTGCTTTTGAAATGTAATCAACAAAACTGACACGCAAAACTGCAGACCATCCTACCTCATTCAAGAGCTTGGTAATACTACTGGTAAGAAGGAGAATGGGATATATGAGGAATATCAACCAAAGGACAGTGTCGACAAAGACCATATACTCCAAGACCTCGTCGTTCAACAACAGAGGCGATATAAGGTAATAGCCGTTGTACACGATTGAGAAGAACATATAAGATATGGCGAACAGCATCGACACCGAGTAAAAGTCCGACACGTCCTGGGAGACGTCACACAGTTGACCGTGCACGTCCCGTAGGTCCAGTAGCTGATGAACGGTGGAATTGCCGACAGCAATGCGACGAGTCTGAGAGAGAGTTTGCGGCTGAAAATCCGGCGGACTGACCCTGGCGAGGCACTGTATCGCGCGATTCACATCGGCAAAATTCATCTGAATGATGGTCACCAGCAGGAAATACTGAATCATGAACCATCCCAGGTGAAACGCCGGCAGGATATTCGTCAGCAAGGATATCGGCTTAAGATAGTAGGCGAAGTATTCGACGATCAGGAGAGTCATCACCATACTACCGTTGAAGATGCACACAATCGTCAGGACACGGAAGACGCGCTCTCGCCGTAGTGAAGGGTACAGACGGTACAGACGGTCCAGTTCGTGCTTGACGTCCGTCAATCGATTGCCGATTCGCAGCAGATTCTTCTCCCGGAAGCAATAGCTAAGTAAAATCACGCAAATCGCTATGCTGCCGAGCAGAGCCTGAAAGATCTCGATGCCTACGGTCATGTTCGTTTTGTTGGGGTAGTCCAGGTTGATGGTGTACGGTATCCCCAAGGAGTTGAAGGCGATTATCAGGCTGATAAGTACAATGTTGTAGGCGATACCTAGCTCGGAGTACTGAAACATATACGACGTCTGCAGGTTCGTCCTCTTCTGTCTGTCGACGCAGTATGTGAACGTCGCGAGACCGACGAACTTGAAGAATATTATCAACATCCGTAGTGGCCAAGAGGAATCCTGATACGATCGCGATTTGATCATCGTCGCTTTCTGTTTGTTGACCTTCTCCACGACGAAGCCAACTTTCTCTACGTTCCCGAAAATTGTGAAGATCCTGTAGACATCCAGGTAGATTGAATACTCTATCAGTTCGGAAGCTTCCTTGCGATGTAAATTATCTTCTTCGATAAATTAATATCTAAACGTGATATCTAATTTTTTTTTCTATTATACCTCGTCAGATTGCGCGCATTTGTAATTCCTTTCATAATTCCGAAATATTGTCTACGATTTCGTTGATTAATTGAGTACGTACGGGTTTTTGGTGTGATTAATGCATTACTTTTTAAATATTTATTTTTCTCCTCCCGATCACTTTGCGAGAGAATCAGATTAATTAAATTGATTCGCGATCCTTTGTACTTAGTGCGCGCACAGTCACGTTTCCGATGAAGGATCCGCGATACATTAGAATCTACGAGACGCTTCATTCATGCGAAGCAGCACTGAGCGCAAACAGCGAAAGACTTCCGTAAATGTCGCTTTCGCGAGCGCTTGTCGTGTATGCAAAACATTAAATATTAACTCCGTGAAAATCATAGGTAACGTCCTTGGGACTAACGGAAGTCATAAGGTCAACTCTGTCACGTACAACGATATCGATCTCGCGATTAAATGGTCGATTGTCGGTTAACACAGACACGTTGTATCACACATTAGTTAGGCCCATATTAAAGTCTAATAAAATATTTATAGCTCATATACATGACATGTATATGTTAGCACATGAGATAATACACACCATAATGCTGGTTAGATCATAAACAATTAACGAGTCTTCGAACATAACTTAAAAATAGTGTTATTCTTAATTTAATTATTTCTTAATATTGTTATTCTTGACGATAATTTCTTATCTTTGACGATATTTTCATTTTATTAATTTGAATTTTTTATCTATATCTTTCTGCTTTAAAAAATTGTATTTGATAACAATTTTGCTCATCTAGGCTTCGTCGTCAACTCACATTGCAAGGCTTTTAGGACGCATCGAACTTCTACTTGATGTTGACACTGTTTAGCAACTTTTCCACATTCTTCTCGCTCATAATATTAATTATTAATTTCTACAGCTATTATTATTGGACAGTGAGTTTTTGAGGTCGACATAGTCTTCTAGCTGATATTTTTTATATATCCCGTTTTTCTTTTCATTAGTAGTATCGCCGAGCTTTTGAGTGAGGTAGGTTGGTCTGTTAACTGAGTTGACTTCACCGATTTACTGGAAAACGAAGACGAGAAATCAGATTAATTCTATAAAATCGAACAGGATCTTTCAAGATCACAAGTTTCTTACAGATAGAGAGAACGAGCAATACGACAAATAATCTTTTGAATTTCATTTTCGACGACAATAATTGAGTCTTAGTTACTCTTACTGTAAATCTATTGCAGCCTCAACAAATCTTGCTTCAACTGCTGCATTGCAAGGTATCCGACGTTTCATTTGATATAGTTTATAATCGAGTCTCGCTCTTAATGTGACATCTTAATGTAACATCATAATGAAATAAAATACGTGTGTTATACATGTGTTATAAAGAACGACATTTTACTATTCCTAGCGAGTGCGCTTTATCGTTTTTATTTATTAAGTTGAATTTTTAACCTGCATTTTTCTTTTTCAAGAAACATGTAAAATATTGTTTACAATATTGGATGTATAAAATATTTCAATAACGTTACACATTTAAATTTCATGTTCTTCAATTTACAAGTACGAGATACATGAAGGTACATGATTGTATAATAAATCTGATTTAACCGAATCTTGCGGTCTAATAGCATCTACACAATGAAAACTTTTATACATAGTTGAAATTTATTGCGCAATAAATATTGGATATTAATGTATCAGCTCTAATCACATTATATAATTGTCTTGCCAGATTACAAATCGAAACATTTAGTATTAATGATTGTAAAATGATAACATAATTATTATCTAAAGAACAGGTTCAGGTATCAAAAACATGAGATTTAATGTGTAATGTCCAGTGCTTCGTGCTGTATCGTGAAATATTCTTAATATCAAATCCATATAAAATTACCTTGTTCTTAAACTAACACCTTATTACGAGAATAAATACGTAGGCTTATGCGTTATTAAGAAAGACATTTTATTGTTCCCGATGAAAATGTTTTATCGTCGATGTCTCTTTTATTAAGTGAAACTTTTGATCTGTGTCTTCCTTTTTCAGGAAACACGTAAAATATTTTTGACAGTAGTTTAACGTATAATATAGTTTTAATAGTATCGAACGTATTTATTCGCTTTTAACGATACACGCTATTACTAAAATGAATGCGTACACTCGTGCATTGTGAGGAGCGACATTTTACCTTCATATTTTGCTGCTAGTAAAGTTTTATTTTTATCACAGAGATAATATTCAGCTAACTCATAATCTGATGTTATACATATATTTTTCGACGATGCTTTATCATTTGGTGTCACTTTTACCAGCATTGTGTGAAATTCAAGTATTGTATAGAATACCTAGACATTCTACAGAACGTCTATCAGTTTTTATAATGCATAGATATTTCATATATAACGCCTAAGTATTCTATACAATGTCGGATTTCTTACTTTGCCGGTAACATTGCAATATTACACGCTTAAAATTCATGTTTTGATGTCTGATCCCGTTTACCAGATAATAATTCTGCTACCGCTTTACAATTATGAATAGTAAAAGATTCAATTTGTAATATTTGACAATGATATAATGTGATTAGGAGCTGATATATTAGTACTCAACATTTGTTGTATGATAAATTTTAGTACTATATAAAAGTTTCTTGTATGCAGATTCTGTTAAACACTACAAAATGCGATTAAATCAATCAAATTTATGTTATTCAACTTTTATGTCATATATCTTATTTATACTTGTAAATTAAATAATATTAAATATGTAATACTGCTTGCAACACCAAATGATAAAAGATCGAAAAATCGAAAAATCCAGTAAGCTATGCTAAACGATGATAGTTTTGAAATAAGTAAGTTTAATTAGTATATAATATATTTCCTCATATTTTATATCACATATAACACGCAATTGAATTTTTATCCTTACAGAGGTGTGATTTTATTAATATTATTATTATAAAGTTTTACTTTTTTATTGATATGCGATTATAAAATTACAATTATCCTAGGATTGCTAAATATACACATTTAATTATAATTTAATCTAATTTTATTAGATTTTATATAATTCTAATATTTTTTCAGTTATATTGTAAAATCTTCTCAATATGTTTGTGAATATGTTTGTGAATATGTTTATGACAATTTTATTCTTGACATGAAATGTAATCGATATTGTAATATGCTCTACGGCAGTTTATTATATTTCGTGACAAAATGGTTTCGACATACAACATACAAACATTACGTCATCGATCAATTTTGATACTTTCTTTAGCAAATTGATCTACTTAGTGAATATTTTAATTAAAAATAAAATGTAATATTTGTATGTTAATCGTAAAATATTTACAGTAATTGTCGTATCACCAGATAATGTCCAAAAATTATGGTTAACTTGTCTAATTTGTACGCTTTTGATACTTTTCGTCAGTACTTTATACTCTTATTGTATCAGCGACTGATTTGATGAGATAACTAATTGACGAGATATTAAGAACATTCAAACAATATGTCACGTGTCACAAATATTTGATAAAATGTTAGAAAATAAAAGACATATTATTATACTTATTAATATTATTAAAAAAATTTTTTAAGTTTTATCTATCACATGAAAAACTTCTCTTTTTACCATCCAATTTTCCTCACAATGGCAATAGTATGATAATATTATTAATAATCTTATGTCATATTACACAAAAGAGTTATTGGAAATAACGAGTTAGCTGATGTATTGTTTTGATATATTATCCTCATTACAATGATTGTAAATATTATATAAAGTATATGGCGACAATGTAAAGATTGGGTATTTACTCTCTAGCATGAACTCATCAGATAAAATAAAAAAAATAACACAAATATACAAAAAATAATTCATAGAATCGTATCACATACTTTCACATTCCGTAATATTCTTTTGACTTATCACTCGATAATATTCACTTTAAATCATTTACAATTAGTGGTAAAATTTCATAGCAAATTTATGAAAAATTCTGAGGTAGATAATGCATATCAATACATCAGCTGGTTTGGTAACATTTTGTCTATTGTACCGAGTTATGTGTGAAGTAACACTACAATATTGCCGTACCTTATTTATTTACACACAATACCAATTAATCAATTGCATATATTATAAACCAATTACATTTATTGCAAATGAAATATATAGTTATAGTAGAATCAATGAAATGATCTGACGAATATATCTATCACAAATTTATTTATCGTTGATAACATAATTTCAGTTAAATATTGAAATAATCATTGGAAATTAGCATGGTAGTTTATTTGTTAATTCCGGCATCTCTTATATAATATACCATGATTGTATAAAATTAATACGTTTCGAATTTTTCAGAATTTTGCTACGACTGCAATTGTAAAAAGCAAATACTATAAGTTTTTTATTAACTCGCCAAATAAGGGATGAGTGCTCAAGAAATTTTACGCTCCTCGTTTCGAATTACTCTGCGAGTGCATTTCAGCTTACGTACTTCAATGCGCCTGATTTATTAATGCCATAAAAGTGACAATCATAATGACAATGTATTTCTTGCCATAATCACATGGCGATACATAAAATAATAAATGTGCCTTTTGTCAGAAAAAAAAAAACAAAAGAAAATTACATCGGTTAATTAACTTCCTCGTTTTCAGTATTCGCACTCTGAATAGGCACTTCTGCTTCCGCTTCTATTCGTGCTTTGTCTTCGGTTTCAATAAGCGATCCTGTTTTCGATTCCGCTTGTGCTTGTGATGTAGATTCCGCTTGTTCGTTGTCCTGTTGTGGTTCTGATTCGGGTTCCCTCTCTATTTCCCGTCCTGATTCCACAACTGGTTCTACTTCAGTTACTATATCAGTATCTGGTTGACTACCGCTGTCATCCGCAGGCGAATCTTGTGGTCTAACAGAATCTATATACCAAAAACTTTTACAGAGCTCAAATTTACTGCGCAACAAATGTTGGATATTAATGTATAAATTGTAACCGCACTAAATAATTGTCTCATCAAAAATTATAAATCAAATCTCTTAATATTCATAATCGTAAAACAGTAGCAGAATAATTATTACCTGGGCAAGCAGGATCAGACATCAGTGAGAACATTTTCTCCTCAGACATATCTTTCGTTAATTCCTTGAAGTGCACCACTTGATCCGAGAAAGATTGCCAAAATGATTGCCCCTCAGGTATAGTAAACATGGCCTGTGTATATTTTATTATTCATTATATGCGCGTGTAACAAAATGTTAAAAATACATTTAAATAGTTATACAGGATGTCTCACAACCACCGTAAGATATTTTAATAGCATATTTTGAAGATAAAGTAGAGTCGAAAATCCTAATATAAAAATATCGAGACTACAATAGTTTTTAAATTATAACCAATTAAAGATTACCAGTAATATCGCATAGAATTCGCGCGCTCAGGTCTATAGTTATAAAGCACGCACATTTGATTAGTTATAATTCAAAAACTATTGTAGCCTTGACATTTTTGTATTAGGATTTTTTATTCTACTTTATCTTCAGAATATGCTATTAAAATATCTTATGATAGTTGTGAAACGCCTTGTATACTAATATTTCCTAAAAATGACGATTACCTTGTACTTGTTATATATATGTTCTGCTTTTTGTCTAATCTGTTCTGCCTTTTGTTTAAAAGTAGCCTGTAAAAAATATTAGCAATAAATGGAATGAACGAATAAATGAATAAAATATAAAAATCTTATAGTATTACATATAATGTGACCATATATAATCGTATATAATAAAATATAAAGATATATATTTTTTACCTCTTCTTCCGCGCTTAGTTTCCAATCTGCTAGGTTACCAATGTACCGCCGCAACTAAAGTAAAAAATAATCGTATAAGGAAGGAAAATCTCCAATGCTGTTACAATATTGTTACTTTTTGATATATTAGTTACCCTTTTCACAGTTTCAACGATGTGGGGATGCTTTTTCAGCATTAGAGGATCAATCGAAAGAGCCAAGATGTCATCCATCGCCTGTAAGCATTTATCTGCGTTAGCCCGGTCCAATCCCAAGCTAGATTTTATTTGAGCGTCCAATTGTAGAAGTTGAGCTTCTATGCGGAGCCATCTAGAAAATAGCATCGTATAATATTTAGTTGTTCATATCTTTATAAAATGACTCATTATCTTCATACTAGTTTCCTTTTCACAAAATAATAGTAATATATTTATTTATACCTTAATTTATAAGTTTTGCGATGAACAGCTCCGTCTTTTAAAGCACGTTTTTCATCTTCTGGCACATGTACATTAAAGTCTAAAGAGTCCTTGACTTGTTCTGGCAAAATTTCTCCACTCTCCAATTGTGCCTTGAGCTTCATAGCTTTCCTAGCAGTTCCCCAATCCCAATTTGTCCTGGCTTTCTCGTTTTCGAAAGATTTCGGTCTATCCACATCCAATTTGATGCCCACATACTCCCCAGCGAATGTGCGAGCTAGAAGAAAACGGCCTGGTGTATCAGAAGATGTACCACTTGATACTAATGTATCAAGTATTGGTCCTTCACCTGCATTACTTTTCTCTGTAAGATAAACAAGATATCATGACGAATAGAAAATAAACAACTTAAGAGAAAGAGAAGTTATCTACAAATGCTTACTTTCAACAGCAGCACGTTTTTTAGGAATTACATTTGACTGGTCACTGGAATCATCAGTTTTTGGTTTGCGACCACGTCCCGAATGTTCTAAATAAAAAAATTTGTGATTATGATATATCATTAGCATGAGATAAAAATTCCTATAATCAACTTTTTCACCAGCGAATTTAGAATACCTGACTATAAGTATGTATATAATAAAAAACATAAGTGCATCTGATATGAACAATTAAAAGAGAGAGTAAAGAAGTGAGGCTTAAATTACATATTATGAAAGAGGTTGGGATCAATTAAAAAAATTTGGAACAAGTACTGTGATATTTTATTAATAGAAAATTATTTATAGAACATATACATTAGGTACTCGAAATTTTAGTTTTCTGCAAACGAATTAATGACAGCTGTTCCAAAAGAATTAATTTCTTTAATTCCTTTGTAGATAAATTCCAAGTTTCATTGAATTCCATAGATCCCATATATTTTTCAAATATTTCTGATGAAGTCTGCGTTTCTTTGTTCACCATTAAACGTGGAAGTCTCTCTATTTTCTTTGTACCTTCAAAAATTTAATTATGATATAAAATCGATCCTAAATCTGACAAGGAACAGCACACAATACTCTGTCTTTATATATCTTTTATAAAATAATACCTATCTTTTATAAATATCTATTATTAAGCAAAACCAATTGCTACATAAGTATTAGATTGAAACGGTAGAAAAAGTTGATTTAATAGAAATATTTTATCTCATAATTTCTAATAACGAAATCATAAGAAATTAATAATAGATTCTATGTATCATGAAATATTATGTTATTAATACCGTTTTTTTCTGTGGTTTCGGTTTCTTCTGAACTGGAGAAATCAGCAAAACGTTTCGGCTTGATCTTACGACCACTGCGACTAACGACTTCTTTAGGTGAATCTTCACCCTGTGAATCCAAAGCTTCTTGCTTCGATACATCAATTGAGGCTTTTCCTCTGCCACGTTTCTTTTTCACTTCTGGTGTATCCTGTTACATAATTTCCATATTTTCCAACAGAAATACTTTTGATAGTTATTTCTTTTATAACTTTTAAATACATCTATTATATAAATAAAAAACGTTGTGAGGAACAATCGCACAAACCATTCAATCTTTAAAAATGTTTGTCAGCAGTTCCTAGATTTCTTTTTGGAATATATTTATCAATTACTGTTTTTCATTATCACAGTATTGCATACATATTAGATATTCCAAAAAATTGTTAAAAAAAAAAGAAATATTGGAAGCTTACAGGAGTATTGGAGGCGGATGTAAGGGGTTTTCTTTTTAGATGTTTCTTCTTTTCTCCTTCATCTATTATTAAAGAACCAGATTCCATGTCACTATCTGTGGCACTTACAGTTGGTAACTCAGCTGCATCATCTTTAGGTAATGCATCATCTACAGTAACAAATTTAATAATCAACAAACTATTATCAAGAAAATTCAACTGTTAGGCTTAATAATTACTTTATAAAATATATCTTACCTATAGAAATATATCTTACATATCTATAGAACATATTATCAGAATTACCTTTAATATTAGCAATGTTTGTCATAGATTTACTCCTCTCATTTTTAAGTTCTTGCTCAAGCTGTTGTATACCCTCATGAAAGAACTTTCGTCGACTAGGCTTGCAAAACTTTGCTTTGTTTTCAGTATAGGTAAATAGTTCTTCTACTTTACAAACAGCTCTAAAATTAAATATGTACAAATTAGAAATAATCTTCAATTATGTTACATGTTCATGCATGGTAATACATATAAAACAATACTACATTAATTTATCACAATTAAATTTTCAAAAAAGATTTTCAATATTACTTACGTTTCTCCTGTACCATAGAAGTAAACGCTATATCTTGCGTTCTTAGAATTTGCATCAGTAACTTTCTCGACCTACAAACAGGTAAATAATATAAATACTACTAACTTATGTGTATACAACTCCAAGGTCAAGATATAAATTATGTTTATCACTTATATGTATATTACCAACTAACCCAAATTTTGAATTAAGTTGTATGTTTAGCTTGATGATGAAGGCAAACGATTCAAATGGTCATATTAGATTGAAATTTTCTAGACGTCTCTTCTCAACTGTTTGCTTTTATTTAAATATTTTAGTATTAACTTAGTATATTTTAGTTTAACTAATATATACATAAATATATATTTATACTTATATATTAAAATTAAATATATATATGTATTAAATATTAACACATATTCCATGTTAAACTCATTTTATATAACTTGTTTGTGCCAGTGGCCCATGATAACTCATAATCGCACGATTTTATTAAGTCACATTTTATTTCTCAAATAACATATGTCTTGTCTTAATAACGTGTTAAATACATTTTATAAAAATTACAGGAATTATAATTTTATGAGTTTTATCTTAAAGCAAAAATATCAAACAACCTAAACGAAAAGTTTAGCATAGGCCATTAATAATATCTATCTATTTATATTATGAATCATATTTCATTTATATAATATCATATGATAACATATATCATATAATAACAAATGTCAATTATTATAAGAGTATTTCTTTTTTTCTATTTCATTGCTTCATTTTAAAGCAAAATATCAGAAGATTTGAACAGAAAGTTTAACTTGGGCTATCGATGACTCATGTAATACGGAATGTGTTTGTGAATAAATTCACTTATAAAATCAACTAAAATAAAATGCAATGTTAAGATAGACATTGCAAAGATTAATACGCCATTATTTACATGCATTAAAATCAAAATAACTTAGTATAAAATTACTAAGCGTATCATAAGTTATCAATATAAACAAAACCATAGTTTGTCAATAATACGTGCATTATATGCGCCGTACCAAGAAATCTAAGTAGGATTGCAAGGAATTTGCAGAAAAAATGCAAATATTGTTGTATGCTAATCAATACGATCGATTGACGAAAAGAGGTTTAACGAGTCATTGTCGATCGTGTTCTAGAACCTAGGTTCTAGAATCTAAGTGAAAAAAGCATATACTTACGAAACACAATTGACCACCATAACAAACACGATCGAAAAAATAACAAGAAAAAAAAGCAATTTATGAATATTTGACATCATTAAACATTTACACGTTGAAACGAATCGACATCCCGGATGACAATACTAATCGCGACATCAGCAATTGGGATATCCATTCCACAAAATTAACGAGACGCTGCTAAAATCGGCAGACTTACTTTAGCAGGCCACGGCGGGTAACCTCGAACTTTGGCGAACACCTTGTCGCCGGAAAAAAACTTCTTCAGTAGCTTCACCATGACGGCTATAAGCGGACCGCAAATCGTAAACAATAATTTATTCGTTATTGTTGTTCTTCTCGGTCAGTCTCTACTATGATTATAGATTGCGCCAGAATTAATTGCGAGGACGCATCACACAAAACACTTCAGCGACCACCATTTGCACGACGACATTTGCGCGGCGATGCTAAAAACACGCACGACACGACGCGAACTTGCCATTGGTCGCAACGCCAGTAAGAAGAAAGCGGCCCGCGCAAAGTCGAGGATGCGATTGATCGATGCGGCCGACCGGACGAGCGCTGATTGGCTGAGTGTCTATTAGCATCGAACAAACAAAGTCGTAAAATACTGTAACCGCGATCGCAGCGACACTCTACACCAAGCTCGGCGAATCGAGTCCGTTCTGCGAGCACTCATAAAATAAAACAATCTTTTAAAAATAAACATATTAAAGTTTATAAAAATATATTTTGTTGATTTTTACTTTAACATCCACATCGATAGTATTAGTTTTTCCTTGATGTAAGTAGTATAAAAATCATCTAATGACCCGGAAAAAATAACGTGCTGAATACGGATTGGCTAACCTACGTTCCAAAAGAAAGAGGAAAAAGCACAAAAAATATTATTTCGAACACATCTGAAGTAAATAAATATGTATCGTAATGTTTAAGGTTAAATGTGAGCGTAGCGAGGTAACATTTTATATTTTAATCAAGTAGGTTTGTCCAGATACGAACTCTTGCGTCATGGAGATGCGTAAAAGAAAAGACGCCACACGTTCAATACATAGGATGCCGTATTATATTCGTACGTTACATGTGCCATTACTTATCTATACACATGTATTATCACGTTTATACGAAATCTTTAATAGAATGTAATTTGCAGCGTAAAAAACAGTCGATTTGTGATAACGATAAGCTCTAATGCAAATCGTCCCAAAACACGGGGCGACAGCGGCTTTACGATAAGGGGCGATCTTTTGATGGGTTTATGAACACACGATTAGAATGCGACTCAATGGATACGGCTTGACTGTCAAATATACGAATATTCAGGCGAACACTTGCACCGAGTGCGTTCGGCAGCGTTTTGGGGGAACGTGCGATGTTGTGTCCGACGACGACGGTTTGGACGTCACACATAGACCGTATCGAACTTCCACGAAGGGCGCCGAGCAGAACGTAAGTTCATAGACACTTCATGATGTTCGTCCGTAATGCATTATGCGTTCTCATCCGTATCTTCTTTTTCATTTTCGAAACGCCGATTTTCCGTGACGCGCGTGCAACACGCTCACGCCGCATGATGCACGACACACTTTTCCAGCCACCCGCCTAAATTCGCTACATTTCCACGTTAATCCTTCTTAATCATTTTTCCGGTCGTTCGATATTTTATATCCGCCTATCGTGCGTATGAGGAGCACCGATTAATCAGTCACATCGTAGATGAGATTTTGCATTATTTACATATTATTATCTCCGTATTCTTACATCATTCGCGTCTATATTGTGAAAATATATATTAAATATTTAGAGATATCCGTGGAAACATTATGTTATCTAATTGTGAAAGTTAGATTTTTAGAGTTAGCAAATGCAAAAAAAAAGAAAAAATATATAATGATTATGCAGTTACAAAAGTTAATAAACAATTTTGTATAACAACGAATATGTAAATTAATAAATAATATTGATGAATATCTGATTAGAAATATGAGGAATATATTTTATACATATGATGACTAAACAAAAAAGTTATATAATATTTAACATTTAAAAATTATAAAGAACTTGTAATTTTTATATGCAATTCTTATATCATCAAAATTACAAAATTACATTTAAGAAAACAGCAAAATTATGATTTTTACTTAACCTCATTATTTATGAAATTTTTTTGCATTATGTATAACATGCAGATGAACTCAGAATCTCTACAGCAGCGTTGTGTATTACTATGAAAGATGCCAATTCTTAAGGAGCAGTGCTTCTGTTGAAGTGGTTCTGGCTCAAGAGGCCTCCTAAAGCACAATGAGAGCCATTGTATCATTCATACTGATCACACTACTGTGTGGCATAAGCTTAGCCTCTGTCAATGCTGATAGAATATGTGCTAGTAGAAAGAAAAATGTTGAAAATTTATCCTTGAAACAGAATTCAGCAGCTGTACCTGAAGATGTATCCATTGATCATAATGTAGGTCACATAATAGTAAGTCCTTACAAATTAAATTTGCACTTCTTGTCAATATTACAATAAGTTTGAGATTATGCAAGATTTATTTAATGCATAAAATATATAAAATAGCAAAAAATAGTTGTGAATAATATTGTGAATAATATTAATACTTATACTATACTACTTGTATTAAAATTAAAGTAATTAATTAAACAAGAGAAATAAAAAGTATATATCAAACTTCTAGGTAGATGAAGAGATTAAATTTGAGAGATGTGATAATTTCTGTCATGCCTTGTGGCAAGAAAATAAAACTGCAAATGGCACTGAAATTAGGATATTGTCCCAAGGTATATATGATTAAAAAAAATACAAGTTTGTCATAAACATTTATATTAATATCAGAATAAAACAGAATGTTATTGTTTCACATATTAATTAGGTTGCTGGAGACAATCTGGTGAACAGAAATGTGAAAATACAGAATGCATTGCCCTTCAGAGATCCACAAAAGCTTTGAACAATACAAAATTCTGTTGCTGTCATGGGAATTATTGTAATCTTAACATTACTAGTTCCAATCTCGATGATTACTCAGATGACAAAATATTCAATCCCCTTTCTTCACAAAAATGTCAACCAAGTAAGATCAATAATAACATTAAAAGCTAGTATATATATTATCAATATTATATTGTAAACTATATTGCAATTTTTCCAGCTACAGAATATCTGGAACAGTCAAACTCCGAACAACGGTTGTTATTTATAGTGAGCATAATCACATGTATACTGCTAGCGGTACTTATTATATTCATTGTTGTATACAGAACATATCGCAACAAAATTTTTGCGAGTTTAGGAAAGCCGTTATCTTATAACGATCAATTTATGGACAGTACAGCACTAAGAACTGGTACTTATACAGTTGATCATTTGAAACTCGCGACCATCGTAGGTATGTTTACATTAACTGCATTCAGTGAAGTTAATTAATCTTGTTGTTACAATTTAACATCTAATCGTTAAATATATCCAGTTGATTGATAAATATGTTATGTTATATTTATCCAGTTCTGTGAGATATAATCATAATTGTGTTACAGGTCAGGGAAGATATGGATCCGTTTGGCAAGGCAGTATGGGAGATCAAGATGTTGCAGTTAAAATATATCCCTCGCATTATCGCAATTATTTTCAGAATGAAAGAGATACTTACTGTTTACCTTTTATGGAACATCCATCATTATTAAGCTATTATGGTTGGTATTTTCCATTAAAATTGAGACGAATTGCAAACAATAATAATATGAAATTGCTTCTACAACATACATCTGAGCCAGAAATTTAATTAATATTTTGAATGTAGGTGTAGATGAAAGAATTAGTATGGAAGGTAGTGTTGAGTACCTTCTGGTACTCAGTTTTGCTCCAGGTGGTAGCTTAACAGATTTCTTACGAACACATACTATTGACTGGAGCACATTCTGCAAAATGAGTCTTTCCATAGTTAAGGGACTTGCTTACTTGCACACAGATATACGCAAAGGCGGTATGTATGGTATTATCTGCTTTGCATCACATAATTACATTTCTCATTTAATCATAAGTTCAATTACAAAGTCGTGTAATTGTGAAAGTGATAATTTCTAATAAATTTTTATAAATATTAATTTCTAGATAAATTCAAGCCCTGCATTGCACATAGAGATATAAATTCGAGAAATATATTAATCAAAGCTGATAGTACTTGCTGTATTTGCGATTTGGGATTAGCAGTTCAGATTTCTGGCTCGAAATATTATTCTAATGGAGAAGAGCAGCATGCCGAACTAAAATCAATCAATGATGTGAGTATCTAATATTTACGCGAGTTTTGAGATTATATTCCACATTTATTAAAATTCTCTATCAAAACTTATCATACTAGGTGGGCACTCTGCGATACATGGCACCAGAAGTGTTAGAAGGTGCTGTTAATTTACGCGATTGTGAAAGTTCTTTAAAACAAATAGACGTTTATGCAATGGGGTTGGTTCTTTGGGAATTGGTCACAAGATGTTCTGACATTTATATCCCTGGATCGGAAGTACCGCAATATAAACAGCCGTACGAAAATGAAATAGGTATGTATATAAATTTTTTCGAAATTCTAATAGTTATCTGTTGATGCTGTTGACGCTGTTATTATATTTTATATTATCTATATATATAAAATACCTCTTTTTTTAATATTTCGCAGGACTTCATCCTACATTTGAGCAAATGCAGGTCTTGGTGTCGCGTAACAAAGCTAGACCTCTTTTAGAGGGTAATTTAGTAGATAGACCAGGAGTGCGTTTGATCAGAGAGACTATGGAAGATTGCTGGGATGCCGATGCCGAAGCACGTTTAACCGCTTTATGTATAGAAGAGCGTCTTTCAGAATTACAGTCTCATCGTGGTAACGCATCGTGGTCAACGCATATATTGCGCGCGTAAACAGGGTTGAGAAAGTTACTTTTTGAAAGTAACTCGTTAATAACATTGAACAAACTAATTTATTATTCATTCAGATGTTACGAGTCGTCTCTATTTCTACTAGACCAAAATTTAGAGCAGAGTTTTAAATTTTAAGTTATTTTGAATAAATTGTAAAGATTGTATTTGGTACTCTCATCCAAGAAATTTGATTGTGCCATTATTATTAACAAAAACAAATAATACTAAATTGTCCTTGAAAAAAAAGAACTTGCAACAGGACGCTGCAAGTAATACGTTACTTCCCAACCCTGGCGACGAGAGAATCTTGTGTCTTTTAAAATAAAAAAACTTGTTTTGTAGTGACAATGCACTTTATCGATGGAAGTCCGATGGTTAATTCCCATTGCACCTTAGTGCCTTCGACGACGAACAGTCTTTATAGCGAATCGTCGCATCACGACAATGTACATGTTGTACAACTCGCGTTGAATATGATACAAGATGGTAACGCTAATGAGAATGCGATATCTGAAAACTTGGTTGCATTATCGCCATCTGACAGTGTCGCTCATGAACACAGTTGTGAGTAATTAATGCGAATGAATGTTGCGTTAATATTAAGGTGACCAGACGTCCCGATTTTTCACCCTTTGTCCCGAACTTTTTCGAGTGCTATTTGGGACACCGATTTGTCATCATTTTCAATGATTGTCAAATAATTTTCGGATCTTTTAACCCCCCTCCCTCCGCCACCGCTTTATACATTTATGAAGTGCCGAATTCAGGACTGGAAATTTGGTCGCCTTAGTATTAGGACTCGTGATCTCTCCGAACACTATTAACTAGATTCCTTTGCGTTTTAGTTAAAAATTCCAACGAGATAGCAACATATAATCATACTCAAACGCTTCAGCCATATCAAGGCAGGAATCCGTGTATGGAGAGAAATTTAATGTTACAATCGGATTCCTTGGAAGATCTGAGCTGCAACGGCAACATTCTTGTAGACAAGTCGCTGAAGCACGCGTGCAACGATCAGTATAGGACCGCCACAGAGGCGCAAGGCCTGGTCTCGCATGATTACTTAAGTCAGCATACAACGCAATTAACGCAGCTTAGGCCGGCGACGCCTATACCGTATGTGCAAAATGTTATCTCCGACGAAGGAACATCTTCATACGGCAAACGAAAGCAAACGAACATACAGGACTCGTCACTTCAAGAGAGCCCACGAAAGAAATTGTTCGCGTGGCCCAATTTGAAGAAGTTGCTCATCAACAAGAAGACAAATCCATATAGCAGATACCAAATAGACAGAGAAGATTCCAAGTCGAATCTGTTGACGAAGCAAAATATCCAGATTAAAACCGTCGAGACGAATGTGACGATCTCGCCGGGAGGGAAATATGTGAACGGTATCATCGGTAAAACTTCCACCTCGGCTGTGCCAATGGAAAAAAACGACAAGAATGCCGCACAAACGGGAAAGCAGAAGCAATACGAAAACGATAACGCAACATCGAATGTGCGTCCCTCCACCTTGCCGCTCGTGAATTTGAGAAACAAAAAGCGAGAGAACAATCTCAGCAGGCAGCAGAGCATCGACAAATTCAACGAGGTCTTTAACGTGGGCTCGAACGTGAACAATGTATTGAAGGATCCGCACATGAGAATAAAAACGCCCGGCGATTTACCGCCGTCTGTCAGGAAGATACGCGGTCGTGCACAATCAACTGCGAGATTCTCTCTCTACGACGATCGTATGATGTGCAATATTCTTAGCGAGGAGGATGATCGTAGCGACAAAGCCATTTGGAATTCTGTGCCATTCGGTATGGATCTCGGTGATAATGACGGGAAACATTCACCAACGAAACTCGATACCAAAAATGTTACGTGCTTTTAATCAGATATAATACTAACGTGTTTGTAAAGTCCTTTATGTCTATATAATTTAGTCAGGAAAAGAGAAAAACTGGCTGTAGGATATCTTCAGCTCAAATTTATGTACAGAACTTGTGTATAAGAATAAGTAAGAATTTTGTACTCGAAATATATACATTGCTACAACACTACAGATGAGATAACAATGAAATAAGAAAAAAATCAGAGACAAAACAGAGTATATTAAAAAAAAGAGGGAAAAAAATAAGAAAACGATATCAGCGATAAAAATTATACGGGATGTGTAATAACTCATGCTACTCGATTGATTTGTCATGTTACATTTAATAGCGGTACTTTGTGCATCACGAATGCTTTTGATAAAGTAGATGATTGAGTATGACTAGCGCACGCGCGTAACGATTTTAGATAGAAAATAAAAAATCAAATCTACTCAATCCATATACACTGGATCGCAAGAGATGGATTTGTTCATCATTACTTTACTTTTGTCATATATGTATTACGTGTGAATTGTCTTCTTTGTAGTTGATGTTTCTTTCAATTCGATATCTATAGCATTAAGTGAATTCTCGGTATAATTGTCAAACACGGACAATCAATGTTAACATTTACACCACGTCGTAAAAATACTGTGTATTAACAATCTCGATGTGTATATTCATCATTTACTTTCTTCACACAGCATTTAAAAGACATAATCTCTATATGTAATGTAAAACAACAAGTCTCTTAATGTTAAATCTTATAGAATATTCTCAATTTGATATTATTACGTGGATTGATGACGAAACTATGCAAATTTCAATCCTTTTATTATTAATTTTATCTCTAAGAAATTTTTTACCCCTTCCTGTACATATCTACTTTTTTTGTATGAAGTAAGTTTTATATGAATTTAAGTTTTAAACGAATTGTGCAACATCTGTTCATTAATATGCAACGATATTTATCAGATATACGATTTTATAATTAATGCAAAGCCATTAATATTACTATAGAAAACGATTGTAATTATAAGATAGAAATAGTAAAAAGTTATATTTGAGCACAAAGTATAATTGTATCGAGTTACATGAAAATTATTTTTCCTGATCCTGCGAGCTCAGTGTAAATATATGTGTGTAGTGTAAAAAGAATTTATTCAAATGCGTTAAAAATGCTTGTTATGTTATGTTATGTTATGTTGAAAATATCGTAAGTTCTTGTGTTATACATTTTGCGGTACTTTATCGTGCAACATGTTATTGATAAAATTAAGATAAATATATGATTATGCAACTTATAATAAAATTTGTTTTACGTCGGAAATTGTTGTCCCTTTATTTAAGGTTCCTGATCTCTCGTATTGTCTATCTCTTTTTAATGACGTTAGAAGCGAGAAAATGCATGTTAAAAATTCTTGCAAAATATGTTAAAAATATATATCCATAAAGTAACACTTGCAATCGATTAAACTTTGTAAGATATTCCGTGCACTCTCTTTTTGCAATCAATAATTGTAAATTAACCTGAATAGAAATAGGCGAAGAAATAGATTAAAAAGATGAATTGTATATCACGTTAACTTACGACAAATTATTGATTGTTAGAGCAAAAAGGAAATGTACGAAATATCTTATAAATTTATTTAATCGATTGTGTTATTTTATGGATATATATTTTTATTTTAATATATTTTGCAAAATTTTTAGCATGCATTTTCTCGCTTCTGACGTCATTAAAAAGAGATAGACAATGCGAAAGGCCAGGAGCCTTAAAGTTAAAAGCTCATGTATTTAGTTTTACAGGTATCAGAAAGAGAGAGAGGGAATAAGAGAGTAGTTTGCATTTGTAAAATATAGATTTTCTATATATTTTTTTAATTCACTTCTTCAGATATTGATCTTCTCTACTGCCCCTTGCTATTGCTTATCTTATTTAATAGATAATATTTTTTTACTAATCTTATTATAAAAAAGGATGTTTTGGAAAATATGTTTCATTTTATTTTCATATTATGTAATGTACGAAATGTTTAAAACTTTACTTTCGTTTTACTGTTTATTTTAAATGATAAATTATATGACTAAGAAAATATATATTAAAAAGATATCGATATACAGATTAATCGAAAGCATCGAAAAGATAATCGATAATGTAACAAAAAAAAATCTCGAATATCCGTCGTTTCTATTGGACAACGTGCCGAACGTACTTTACAGTGGCTGCGTTCCGAAATACACTGCCAGTACTGAAAATCTATAGTTCATGTTACATATATTATAGAATTTCAGTACTTGCAGTGAATTTCGGAACGCAGTCAGTGCTGGATCCCGCGGGTGATAATCCGTGCAAGTTAAATTTGTACAAAATCAAATTTTTCATAGAAAGTTCTTTTACGAAAATTGTTTAGTACCAAGTAAATAAATAAACCATGACTATCGTGACATTTTTAAGCCGTAATGTTAACTTATCTCGGGTGTCAACGTTGCGTCCATGTATTTATGGAGTAAGATTGTTTATAATCTGCATATAATTTTTGTTGTATTATAAATTTTCATCGCTGTCGTATTACTCATACATAATAACATGGAAATTTTATTACAATTCACACCGTTATTTCGTTTTTCTAGCAAAATGTACAATATTGGTCATCATATGCCAAATTTGCTGAGCACAAGCCATTGGAGAAGGTTAGAAATATTGGTATATCGGCTCACATTGATTCTGGAAAAACTACTCTGACAGAACGTATTTTATATTATACTGGTAGAATAGTCAAAATGCACGAAGTGAGTATTGAACAGGATGGTTTCATGCATATTTATAAATAAATTGACTACAATAAACAGGATTCTTGAAACTGATGTTTCTAGAAGACATTACTGTATGTATATAATTGCATCTGTTATTAGGTAAAAGGAAAAGACAATGTTGGTGCAGTAATGGACAGTATGGAGTTGGAAAGGCAAAGAGGGATCACTATCCAATCAGCTGCAACGTATACATTATGGAAAGATCATAACATTAATATTATTGATACACCAGGGCATGTAGACTTTACAGTAGAAGTCGAAAGAGCTCTACGTGTCTTAGATGGTGCTGTACTTGTTCTGTGTGCTGTGGGTGGTGTGCAATCACAGACATTGACTGTGAACCGTCAGATGACGAGATATAATGTACCTTGTCTGGCATTTATCAATAAATTAGACAGAATGGGAGCAAATCATAAAAGAGTCTTGGAACAAATGAGGAAAAAGCTACATCATAATGCCGCGTTTATACAGATACCAATTGGTCGGGAAGGTAATACTAAAGGATTGGTTGATCTAATTCAGCAAAAAGCACTTTATTTTGAGGGAGATTTTGGGGAAATTATTAGAGAAGATGAAATCCCAAAGGATATGAATGCTGGTATGTAAAATGAATCTCAATTCCATTGATATATCTTGTTTCTCAGTCTTTAATCTCACAGTTTATTAAAATTTTGGTGATCAGAGGTGAACGAGAAGAGACAAGAACTGATTGAGCACTTGAGTAATGTGGACGACGTACTTGGTGATTTGTACTTGAATGAGATAAAATTAACCGAAAAAGATATTATGGATGCCATACGCAGGGCTTGCGTGAAAAGAAAATTCACTCCTGTTCTAGTTGGCAGTGCCCTAAAAAATAAGGGTATTCAGCTATTACTAGATGCAGTAGTGGATTATTTACCAAACCCAGGGGAAGTAGAGAATTATGCTCTTCGAATGAAATCAGAGTAAGTGTCATAAATTGATGGTAAAAGACTGATGTACACTTTATTTGTGTGATTTACTTCTAAGGAGAAGTTTGATTTAGGAACGAATTCGAGAAAGTTTTAATGAATCCTGCTCGAGATAATAAGGAACCTTTTATCGGACTGGCATTTAAATTAGAAGCTGGAAGATTTGGTCAATTGACGTATTTCCGTTGTTACCAAGGAATGTTGAGCAAATCGGATACCTTGTACAATACAAGAACGAAGAAAAAGGTAATTGTGTTTATGCGCGCACATATAATATACTGTTTTTATAATTCGCGTTGCAAAAAGAAAAAGAGAAATGAGAGAAATTTTGTCTTTTTCGACAAAAAGAGAAGAAAAATGTCATAATTGTATAATATCTCAGATGCGAGCGCAAAAAGTAGTTCGGCTTCACTCAAATCAAATGGAAGACGTGACAGAGGTTTATGCTGGAGATATCTTCGCTTTATTCGGTATAGATTGTGCGTCCGGCGATACCTTCGTGAAAGATCCTAAGTTAAATCTATCGATGGAATCGATCTACATCGCAGATCCCGTAGTCTCTATGTCCATTCAACCAAGCAATTCGAAAGATCGAGACAATTTTGCGAAAGCTATGAACCGATTCACCAAAGAAGACCCGACATTGCGCATGCATTATGATCCAGATAACAAGGTATGCTTTTTTATGTTATAAATTAATATCTACTTATTTTTATGTTATAAATTAACATCTACTTAACGATATAATTAACGCTAAAAGATCTTCATCTTTTTTAGGAAACCATTGTTTCTGGAATGGGAGAATTGCATTTGGAGATCTACGCGCAAAGAATGGAACGCGAATACAATTGCTCGGTGAATCTTGGAAAACCGAAAGTTTCCTTTCGCGAAACTCTAACCAAGGCGTGCGAGTTTGATTATTTACATAAAAAGCAGAGCGGTGGTGCCGGTCAATATGCTCGAGTGATCGGTGTTCTGGAGGTAAAGTCTAAGTAAAACACACGCTTTCTTTATTTTTCACCGTTTTACTTTCCATCGTTAATGTTGATTTATTGTATTAATGTCTATAGTTTGTATAATATGTAATCCGTGTCTTTTCTGATTTAGCCATTGCCGCCCCATCAAAACACGCAGGTCGAATTTTCGGATGAAACTGTGGGCACCAACGTTCCGCGACAATTCATTCCGGGCGTGGAGAAAGGCTTCAGAGCCATGTGCGAGAAGGGCATGCTCAGCGGTCACAAAATCGCCGGGATCAAATTTAGAATAATCGACGGTATGCATCATTCCGTCGATTCTTCGGAGTTCGCCTTCTTCCAAGCCGCGCAAGGCGCTATCAAAGATGTATTTGAGAGCGGTAGCTGGCAGATTCTGGAGCCGATCATGTTGGTCGAGGTGACGGGGCCGGTAGAATTTCAGGTATGACGATATAGCTGACTTGTGCGGTTAATTCAGCACTTGCATAAATAGTTTCTGCAGTATATTTCCGGCGGAAAGTTCCTCACACGTCTGTTGTCCCTTGTAGAGTCAAATATTAGGACAACTCAGTAGACGAAAAGGCATCATAAATAGGACAGAGGTCAACGATGACTGGTGCGCGGTCATTGCGGAGGTACCGCTCAATGAGATGTTCGGTTACTCCAACGAACTGAGATCCAGCACTCAGGGTAAAGGAGAATTCACTATGGAGTATACGAGATACAGTCCTTGCTTGCCGGAGGTACAGGAGCAACTTATTAGACAATATCAGGAGTCACGGGGAATAGTAGTGGTGAAGGCGCAGAAGTCGAAAAATTGATTGTAAAATATAGAATAAACATTTTTCATTCTTTAGCAAAAATTGCACGACGTTACCACATGTGTTGCGAGCTCACATTGTCTCTGGTAATATTGTTTATTATAGCTTCAATCTTATATTTGATTATACCAACTGATAAGTTATTGATACGTAAATGTAATAGCTAAACGTGTACAGTGATTCATATACTTATAAAATTTAATAATACTGATTATTGAATGCATTGTACATATTAGTCTGTGTCGCAATTAATGTATGTAGTATATTTACAAGATAGATAGGAAATACAATTTCTATTTTCAAACTTTTGTCCCTTTTTATTCACATATAGACTACTTTTCAATATTCACTGTTAATACGGGAAATTTATAAGATATGCAATATAAACTATAGATCTTCAATACTAGCAGTGAATATTAAAACAGCTATAATAAAAATACATTGTATACTGCAAATATTTTACATTGAAAACTGTTTTTGTCAAGAAATCAATTTTTTATATTGATTCGCGACATCTCTCTCGCGTCTCTTTTTACTTTATACTTCCAAATCCCAGACCCCTTTTTTGTCACCTTGGAGATTTAAAAATCCCATTGTTTAAATACCGTATTATCGAATTAAAAGTCTATTCAGACAAGCTTGCTTAATGCATATGTACAAGGAAATTGACCAAGTGTGTCTAATATAAAAAGACATTCTTTTGATTTTTAGGCTTTCGCGGTGTCCATGCACATTAGATTTGGTTTTCCCGAGTTTGAACCGCGTGAATTCATCTTTGATTTCGACGTTTCGCGAACATTTCAATCCGCTTCATCAGGGAGGAACGACCTGATGCCAATAAAAACACTAGGACACTTTTTTATTGCACAGATTATAATTGATTGATTTCTCCATGTATATATGCAGTATGCGATTACGCAAGTTTGTCTGGATAGGTCCTGATCAGTCACCGCGGCCATATTGGATTGTTGACGTTAGAAGCGAGGAAAACCATGTCCAAAATTGCTGCGAACCACAGCTAAATAAAAAAATATCATTAAAATGACACTTGCAATCTGTTCTACATACTTGTGAAATGCTCCAGATACTTCTTCTTTTGCCGAAATAACTTATTACGTAATTTATTATTTTGTGGTAATAACTTATCTCGTTTTAAAGAAAATCAGCTGTGTGATTCGATGCCGAATATAACCGAATAACTACTTATACGCATTAAATATCACAATAAACACAGTATCCGGAGCATTTCCATACTTCCACAATTGTATCACACGTAATATTCATGCATTACATTCAGTAATAACGTTGTAGTTCGCAGGAAAAAATTAATCGTCTATTTACATCGTTAGATCTGTTCGATCAACTTTGCACGAGTGCAATAAGTTAAAGAGAGAGACAAGTATACTTTCTTTCCCTTTAACTTATTGCAACAGTCTGCACTTTGTGAACCTAATAATTGATCATTTTGCCGTTTATAATCATGTCGCCACCGTCAACGCAGAGCTCTCGGCTGACCGATTCACTCTTTCGGTCGTCATGGTGACGACGCCTCGCCCGGCTCGTTGCGCGCGATTGGCGGTCAGACGGTCGCCAGGTGGCGCGCGCATCGAGCGCGCAGTGCGACGCCGGCGGCGGATCGTGGCGCGATCAGTAGCGCGTTGACGGAGGCGAGGAAGAGATCGTTGGTGCGCGCGTGCGCGTCTTACTCGTGTGTACCCTACGCGTCGCGCGTTCCTCGTGCACGAGCAAATCGGAGCGCGTCGCCGAGGCGGCTGTTGTTGAACGCTAAGGAGGACCCGCCGTCACCTCTTCGGTCGCGTATCGCCGAGGCCGTACTCGTCGGCGCCGCGGTGTGTGCGTGTGCCCGAAAAATGTAATATGGCGATGGTTGCGTCGTCGAACATGAGCGGCCACATACAGAAGCAGCTCACCAGGAGCCTCGAGCGGATCCTGGAGGAGGCGCACCTGAGCGGCGAACTCAAGCTGAGTGGCCGGAAGCTGAAAGACTTTCCGAAAGTCGGGAAAACCGGTGCAGCCGCCAAATACAACCTGCAGGACACCGTAATCGCCGGTGAGTCCCTTTCAATTTATGCGTCTGTGTGAATGTGTGTGCGCTGCCCTCGGTTATTGGCTCTGCAGCCGATTTCACAAAGGGTGCGCAGTTGGCTGAAAGCGCGGGGTAGCCGCAAGGCGGTATAGAGTTTTGAAAAAAAAAACAATAACAAACTTCTCGCTCGTTTTCCGAATGATCGACGTGCGCGTTTATGTTTATTTGCGTTGTGTTGTTAATAACGGAATTCAACGTCGCGTTTCTGCTAAGTTTCAACGATGTCTTCTCTTTGCTGCAATGTCTCTCAAGTTGTCATGTGTAATTTCGACTGCGATCCAAATCGGGCTACGCGTTCGTTAACCTGTTAAGATCACAACGATGTCGTTTCGGAAGCGAGAGTGTTGGGTTCGCGGGAATGACTTTGCATGGAGCTGTGTTCGCGAGCTGTCATGAACATTACATATTATCCGTTAAAACGTGTATTTCCAGTATTGAGTCGTCGCGTCTTGCAGTACCGTTACGCGCGTTGGATCGATGATCCCCCGGCGTCTTGTCGATAAATCGGCAATGAAGTTTAGAGGTAAGGCGTGAGAGAGTGAAATTAGGATAGTCGAACAGAAATATCTCTGTTCCAATTCTTGATCATATAACTGCGTACCGGATAGCAATTTCCGTATCACAACAGTGAGCTATTCGGTTGACCGGTCTCGTTTACATTCACTTTTTGTGAGTTGTATCAGCGAACAACGAAGTTTCGTCCGCGTAATCTAGCGCCTTTCTTCCTCGAGATCTCTCGACGCGGACCGCTGTCGTAAATATTTACACGTCGATTCTCGCTGATACAACGTACTATATATTTACCAATATGTACCTATTAATACCTTGACCTTGCATGTAAAAATATACCGCCATGTTATTCCTGGCGGGGAGCCTTCAATAGAAAATTTGATACGCACGGCGTGATTACGTCAATGAGTGCTCGGCATCCCCAACGCTATTAATTCCCTTGGCTTATTGAATAAACGAATGCGCGCGTATGTACTCGTACGTGCGTACTGATCATACACCGCGACGGTGCATTGACCAGGGAAACCTTTGAGCATTACCTAATAGTGCGCACTCGCACCTGCCAGGTTCGACACCTGGCGTGCATTACTCACCGGTAATTGCGGCCGTTTCGATTGCGGGACTTTGTAGCAAAATGCAGCGCTCTGGCAGATTTATTAAACATCCACTTCAGCGTCTTACCTATGATGATACGAAAAGTAGAGACATTAACGACTTCGGAGTTTCGCGCTATCATTGCGCGTTTAGCGTCTGAGCCCACTTTTTTTCTTCCGTTGCATTAGCTCGATCCACACACACACACACACACACACACACACACACACACACATCGTATTTTTTTAACTCATAGCAAATACAAATTAGATATATTTTGTATTCGATTTTTCAAAATTCTTCAGAGAAAATAACGATAAAGGCAAGAGGAATTTAGATATGTTTATTAAAAAAAAAAAAACTGAAGAGGTTTATCGACTAAAAGTTTCTCTTTGACTAAAATAATCGGCGAATCAATCAATTGTCAAATATCTTATGTAATTATAATCAATTGCGTTAAAGTTCGATTAATCATCAATTACATCAATCGGCAAAATCTGTGATTTTATATGTGATACGATTGATTAGTTTTGATTGCTGATTTGCCGATTATTTTAGTGTAAGAAAACTTTCGTTGGCTGGTTCTCCCAATATTGATCCAGAATATACAAATTAATATCAATTATCGTTCCGGGCAATCGCGATGATTGAATTCGGACGAGCAATTACTTGATATATTTCATTGGCGATATCATCATGAACGTATCGGTTTGATTCGATCAATATACGACGTTCTGATTTACGTGGATAAATTGCAGAGTTACGTTAAAATTCTTTTCTTTCCATCTTCATAACAAGCGGGGAGACAATCGCATTTTATAAATTGAACGTGATGAGATTCCTGCTTTCTCCTGATATACTTTATGAAGTATTCACACCATGATTAAATTTGATTGTATCGCTGATAGTTGAGCGTCAAAACTAGATGGGTCGAAGGAGGAAGGAAGGGAGAGAGAGAGAGAGAGAGAGAGGGAGAAACCAATATATACACGCGCGGGTTAATTTATCTCACTCGAGATAATTACGCCGCGGACGTCAAAATCCTCGTTTCAACTGTGTCCATTTACAGGGACAGTCGGATCTCGCACATCGAGCTCGTAAAATTTTAACCACGAGCCGGGGACTGACGAATCCCCAACTCGCTCTCGGGCTGAAAAAATGAAACTGGAATACCTACGGTTTTATTTCCTCGCGGGGCGCACACAGGCACGCAACGGCGTTGCGGCGCGGGTAAACACACGCAGACGACATTGGCTCGGGGTAAATGTAATAAAAACTTCGACAGAGCGCAATGCCCGCTGTTCGGCACGTTAACGCTGCGGCGTTTTGTCTGTTTGAAAGATCGCAAATGCTGAACGATCAGTTTTATCGCGCGATTCCGTATTTTATCTGGAATTATCGCATTTCATAGGTCCAGCCTCGCGGGGGAAATCTCACAGATAAGTTTGTAATCTCGGCGAGAAAAATAGATCGACCTTTATTTCTTCATTGCCCGATTACGACGGAACTTACGTCTCTCAGAGCCTAAACAAATTTTCTTGATCATAAATTTAGTTCTCTTTAATCGTTAAAAAAATGAAAATGCTCAAACTAATTGAATACTAATTAATTGATCGGTTAACGTGAAACTATAAACATGATCCTGAAACAGCGCTTGTGAATTCTGCACGGTAAAAAATATTCTGGCATGGAAAAATTTTGTGTGGAAATCGATCCACATGTAGAAACTTTTGTGTTTTAACATGCCCGTATGTTTCAATTGAACATATTATCTTTGCGTTAATTTGGCTACTCTTTGCGTAGAATTCGTATTCATTAGTAATAGTAATATTTTATTACCGTTCAGCTACAATAGCCAAGAAGGGGATTTGATTTACATTAAGTTATATTTTGTACTTATCCATTCATCCATCCATCCGTCCATACATTTTACTATTAATCTTACCTCTATTCTATTCTCCTTCGCTTACCGCTTACCTATCTCTAGCCTATTCTCTCATCACCTTATCACAGCCTTATCACAGCCATTAACATTCTCGCTTTCTTTTAATACCTCCTTTCCATTACAATAAACTATCGCCACTCTTTACTGAATTCGTATTCATTATTTCTAAGTGTTAAAGTAACATAATTTGCACGTAACATGTATAAACTGTGTTATTTACCAATATTTGTGTTATGTTAAATTAGCACAACAATTCGAGTGGATAAATCGGGACACATGCGAGACGTATTGAATTTAACACAAGACTTTTCGCAATGTACGCGACGTCCATGATTGCTAATCGGAAGAACGGACGCCGACCACTTTTCACCCGAAGCACGTGACATGTCGCGAACGACCGCGACGCATTTTCACCTTTCCCATATTTTCTCTTCCACTCGCGGCGTAGCTGCTCGTGAACGTAAGAAAGCTGACGGGATCGTCGGCGCGAAATTCCCGAAATAAAGGGAACGATGATGAGTGAGGAAATGCGGCCCACTGCTCCGCAATAAAATGACGCGCCGAAGTTATGCGTCCGCGCGCGGAAACTTATTTCCGTCGCGCGGTCGTTGCTTTAAAAACGCAGGAGCGCAAAAGCGCGCACGCAATCGCGTCCGTAACTCTTTCCCTGCCGCGCACAAAGCACTTTCCGCGTTATAATTTTCCCGGCCGAGATAGATCGGCTGCACGTCCTGCTTCTCCTTTTATCAGCTTCGACTGCGGCCTGAATGTGTAAAACGGCGACGGCGTGCCGTGGCGATGGCGACGGCGGTGGTAATAACGACCGCGGCGACGGCGGCAGGACAACACGGTTATCGCGGCGCACCCATATTTCCTGTTACCGCGATAAATATTGCGTCTGACAGCCGATAATTCCAAGAGCAACGCGAATTGCGGGCGCGAGCTTTCATTGAACGAAGTGTGCATCACGATCTCGACATTACCGATGCTTCGTGTCGTCTCGCTGTCGTAAAGCCTAATCTACAGTGTGCTCTTTGCTTCTTGTTCCTTATTCTCGATATTTTTCTAGATAAAGGCTGCAAGTCAGAAGGAAATAAAGAGAAAGAAAGAAGCGAAGAGTACGTTGTAGATCTGAGCCAAGAGTCTGGACATGTTTAATTTTTTGATCGAGAATGACGCTCTCGCGCATCCCGAGGTTGTCTACTCGGCTCGAGTTAAAAGAAATCTTCTTATACATTTGTTTCTAATACCACAGATAGAAATAGATCTTTTAATTTCTAATCATTAATTTTTCCCATATTTGTTTCCTATCTTAAAATAGTGATTTCTTCTGTAAGAGTCTCTACAGCTTTATAGTCTTTTTATATGATAATCCTCAGATCCTCGCCATTTTCGATGAAACAAGAAACTAGATCAATCAGTGTTGTCGTTTCTAACAGAAACACAGAACTCGTGCGGGTTAGTATCGATGACGTCTCGTTGCTCTGCAACTCGTGGTCTGCGAAATCGCTCGGTTCTATTGTGGTGAAATTGCTGTCGTGCCCATTGGCGATATTCGAACTGTTGAGATTCTACACATGAATTCACTAAGAACAATATTGCAATACGGACGTGCCGTTGATGAGAAAATAATAATTCGCCGCGCGGATCGTTCGTCGGGATTATTACTACGCGATGAAAATTTACGCGTCATCGCAAGGAATTATTTTTCGATTAGGCGTCTATAAGATTTAAATTTTTTTGTTTTACTTAGAAAAACGTATGGAGTAGTCAGTCATTGGTAAAACAAAATCTAAAAAATAACAATTTTTTGGGTTGAATCATTCTTGCGTAATCATGATCAATTGGAGTATCGCAAAAGAGCTTGAAGAGATTCGCGTTGCGTCATGAGTCATTCTTATTTCTCTTTTCGCGATCATTTCCTGCGGCCGAGAACCCATAATTTCCGCTAAGAGTTTCCGCGAGATAGCGGCGGATTTACTCGAGCTTCTACGTGCCACGGTAATGTGTAATCCACACACGTGTACGTGTGTAATATCGTGTAGGAGTGATAGGTGTATCAGATGGATATCTGGGTCGACACGCTGCAACATTGAATGCGGTAAATTGCGGGCTATTCTCTCTCTCTCTCTCTCCCCCTATCTTCCGTTCAGTTCTCCCCTTGCGATTCAAGGAAAAAATCTGACCGAGCCGATTATAATTCCGCGTGTTCGCTATTACACGTTAGTCAGGACTTTACGACGTTGATTCATAATTCCAGAGTGAAACGCAAAGGATACTCGCGATCTGGTTTTCGCTGCGGCTTTACGTGGTTTCATTCGCGCAGTTTTTTCTTTGCTCTTGTTTTCCTTTTTTTCTTACACGCGTTTACGGTAGTCGGACCGGCTGTGAGCGCAAACGCGCCCGGAATGTTAGATAACGTTGTTGTTGTTGTGCGCGTGAGATTTTCCTGGTCGTTACCCGCGAGTCTGGAT